ACTAATATAGCTATATAAGTATCTTATAAATCCTTTACTTATTAGTTACTATAGACTATAAGTCTTACTTTAAATTTAGTTAATTAACTATATTTATTAAGCTTATAAGTATATACCTAATAGCAGCTAAGGATTTAATACCTTTTAGCTACTACTTATAGCACTATTACCTAAGATTTTAATATTTGTACCTATATAGCGACGCTATTTTAGTGGCTGTAAATTACTTTGTATATTGGTTGCCTTTTAACTATCTATAGGTTAGTAGAGGGTATAGTAACTTCTAATATATACCTATTAGCCTATAATGTCTAGGAACTCCTTTATTATGTACTAGTAATTTACTAGTAACGTCTTTATAATTATTATACTTATTAGGCGTTATATAGTTAATTAAGTAGCCTTAGGCGTACTTTAGCTAAAAGTAGTAATCTTTACTTATTAGTTAACTTTATAATATACTAGACTATATTATTACCTATAAGCTACCTTATATATAGTCTATAATCTTTTACTATAAAGTAAGCCTTATAAGAAAAGTAGCCTTAAATAAAGTCCTTAGTATAATCTAACTACCTATATATATAGTAAGATAATACCTTTTTATAACACCTTTAAATAAGGTTACTACTAGCTAGAGATTACTTAATAGGCTAGCTATAGTTACTTAGGAATTAAACACCTTTTTACACTTAGTAACGTCTTATAAATTAATTACGTAGGGATAAGATAAGGTATAGGGGATTACTATCCTTATTATTTTAGAACTATTAGTTCCTAGTAAGTTACTAGCTTATAGGCTATTAGCTATTAATAAATTATTTAAACTATTATTAGCTTTAATTACCTTAAGTAAGTTACTAGCTTATAGGCTATAGGCTATTAATAAATTAATTAATAAGCTATTAGCTATTAATTTAGGTATTTACTTATTAATTATTTTACTATTAGTAAGTATTTAGCTATTAGCTATTAGATTAATTAATTTAGAACTATTAGTTTCTATTTTACTACCCCTTATATTAATATCTATAAAAGCTATAAAAAAGGCGCTTAGTAGTAATAGTAGTAAAGTAAGGAGAAGTATAAATTTTACCTACTTATATAAATATTCTAGTGCGTTACCTAATTATAAAGCGCCTAGTAAAGTAATATTAACGTGCTTAACTACTTTATCTATTTCTTTATTAGCTTCTTTATATATTAGGGTTTAATTACTAGTTATAATTAGCTTATTAATTTATTATTAGATTACTATAAAGTTAGCTTTATAAAGCTTATTAAGTAATCTTTTTATTAATCTATTAAAGATTTATTTCTTATTAAATATTATATTATATATAGTAAAAACCTTTTTTACACTAAATACTAAATATAATATAAATTACTAAATATATATCTAATAAGGAATCTAATCTATATATAGGCAGTAAGCTTTTACTAGTAGTTTTATAATAGTTATATATCTACTATTAGTATATACGCTTAGTAGCTATAGGCTTATAAATATAAAAAATCTAGCTTTACTATTAGTAAAGGCTTAGTATACTTATTAAGTATAAAATATAAGTAAAATAATTAATATAAGGATTTTTACCTCTAAGCTACTAATAGCGTTTAATTATAAAGATATATAGCTATAGTTATAATTTTAGGCTATAGGACTTTAGGTAATTTTATATTAATCTATATATATTACACCTTAAGTTTAATAATTATAGTAATTTACTTAGCGCTACTGTTTTAAGCCTAGGTATTTACTACTAATAGCTTAATAAAGATCTTATAATTAAAAAGCGTGTCTATAAGTTACTTAAGGCGTAGGATTTCTTAGTTAGCCTTAATAACTTTTAGCGTAATTAAATATTTAGTCTTTAGTATTATAAAGAAGCCCTTTATTATTAATTTAATAGTATCTTAGTAGTAGCTATATAGGTAGAAATCCTATACTAGGCCTATTACCTAATTTAAGATTATTATTACTAAGTAGTATTTTATATAGCCTTATTTAAGATTATAAAAGTCTAGCGCTAAGTAATTACCTAGCGCTATATTTATAATAGATTTATAAGGCTAGTAGTAAATCTACTACTTTATTTTACTAAGACTATATAAATTATAGTCTTATATTATTATAGTGTTAACTTAGGTTAAATATACTCTATATATAGTATTTATAATCCTTTATAGAGCCTTAGCACCTAAGTAGCTAAGACGCTTATACTATATTATTATATTACTATAAAGTAGTTATTACTATATTAACGTTATATATTTATTTCTTACTTATAAGGTTAGTAGTAAATTATTAGTAAAGTGTATAGTAAAAGCGCTTTTACTTTCTTAGCTATAGCTATATTACTTATAATATTTAAGCACTTATTAGTTAGCTTATTCCTTAATATAGCCTATAAGGCTATAATCTATACGCCTTAAGTAATTATTACCTAGGCTTATATCTTACTATATACCTTACTAGTATAGCCTTATAAAAGAAATAAGTAATATAGTAAATACGCTATAATATATTATATTATATATATAGAGCTTTATTAGTAAGCTATTAGCGCCTTTTAAAGTAATCTCTATAGTACTATATCCTTTAATTATAACTTAGGTAGTACTAGCTTAAATATAGTTACTAATTAGGGCTACTACTAATATAACAAACTATAATATATAGTTAAATATATAGTTAGTAGTACCTAAATTAAGTAAGGCTAAATTACCTAGCTTATAGCCTTATAAAGTAGTATAAAAAGCTACCTTTATATAGTATTTACTATATAGTTAATATAACTTAGCCTTAATTCTTTATACTTATTTAGTAAGGTTAAGATTACTTATAATATACTTATTAACTTATTACTAACGTTATATATTTACTAACTAATTACTAGGCCTTTATAATTTATTTATAAAGTAGTAAAGTTATAATAAATAAGTACTAAAGTACGTAAGGCACTTTACCTTTTTACCTATACTTTATTAGTAGTAATACCTCTTATTATTAAATTTACTATCCTTTACTACGCCTTTAGTATATATTAGGCTATTATTATTATTACCTCTAGTTAGGCTAAATACGCTATAGCCTGCTTAGCTATAATATAGTAAGTTATTAGTAAAGGCTTTAACCCTCTTTAGCGCTATCTTATAAAAAGACTACTAGTTAAGATTATTCTAATTACTTATTATTTTACTTATTACTATATATAAATCTAGCTAGGCGCTAAGTGCACTACTTTATAATATAGTAGTAAGGTTATTAAACTAAATTAATAGCTATTAGTAGTTAAGTAAATTAACTTATACTAATTTACTATAGGCTACGTTCTATTTATTAAGCTATATAGTAAGATTTTTTTTAGTAGTTAAGGCCTTTTGCTAGGCTTTTACTAACACTTTACTATATTTATTATAAGTATACTTTATATGCTCTTCTTTAGTTATTCCTACTACTATACTAAGCTTATTAAGCTATTTAGCTAGTAATTTATTAGATTTATAATATCTTTCTTAAAGATCTATAGATATAGTAGATTTAACTATATTAGCTATATTTTTAACGTTTTTTTACTAAGTAGTATACTTATATACTTCCTTATAATAGTAGCTTATCTAGCTGTTTAAGTATATAAGATTATATAAGTTAAGATTATCTAGTGTTATTATATATTTAGTTTTATATATAAGCTTATTAGGTATAGCTATAATAGCCTTACTTCTTACTATATATAGCTATATAGTTACTTACTAGGATATCTTAGTAATTACTATAGCTATAGTAACCTTTTAGTAAGTAGTAAGCTTATCCTTAGTTAAGGCGTATAAATATTACGTTATAAGTAGCTTTATTAGTTTCTTTAGATATATCTTAAGAATTAATTAGTCTGCTACTATAACCTCTAGGTTAATATACTCCTAGAGATTATAACGCTTTACCTTTACTTAGATAGCGTTAAGCTATATAAACTAATTACTATATAATTATAGGATAGTTACCTTATTATTATAGTTCTTATTAATTATTATAATAGTATTTAATTAGTAAATAGGTATATTAGTTATTATAGATATATATATTAAACTATTAATTATTAAATTATAAGGATTATAATAGTTAATTAATTAATTCTATTCTATGTTTTTTTAGTAAATTACTATAGAAATAGGGAAAACCCCCTATTTCTTAGTTAGGAAATCCCTAGCTAATCGTAGCAATATTATTAGTAGACTTACTACTAAAAGTAGGGCTAATTCACCGCCTATTCCCTAACAATTTACCGTAGGGTAACTATATATTTACTAGCTAATTTATATGTAATTCCGCTATATTTAACAAATACCTCTTTACTACTAGGGGTAGTAACCTCCTTCTTTAGCGCTATTATTTAGTAATAGTAGTAATAATAATAGTAATAAGCTTATTAATTAAGGCTATTTATACTATAGTATTTATATAAAAATTTATAAATCTATAGGTAAGTGGCCACCTAGTAGGGTAACCCCCCTACATAACCCTAACTAGGGTGGTTATAATAGTGTTTCTAACGCACAGACTAAAAAATAGGTTTTAGACGCTGCCAACACAACAGACTGTATTCCGAACTAAGCCTCGTCTCTACGCAGCTAACCCACTTGAAGAATACGTATTTCTTTGAGCTGGATTACCTATCTCTACACTGTAGATAGTTAAGCCGTTTTTCCCTATAATCTTTCCTACCTGAACAGTGCCTCTACGACATAATACAAACCGTTTGGAAGCGTTTCTAATCTCTTTTGGGCCTAGGATTAGGTGGCTGGTCTGGTCCAAGCGGAGACGGCTGGAGGAGAGAGAGAGAGGGAGGGAGGGAGAGAGGGAGAGAAGAGCTCGCTTAGTTCTGCTTGTGTTTGTTACTTGAAATGGAAATCCCTCTTGAAGCCAGACGGCTGTGTGTAAAAATGTTCCCATCGCGCATCGCCGTCATCATTCCCATGGATCATGATAAGTCTCAGTTATGGCCAAGTACGTTCTCTTTGTTGGTTCCCGAGACACCAACCACTGTGGGCCGTTGCGGCACCCTGGTAATTATTCACCTGTTATCCGCTGTCTTCTTAGGAAGCTTATCTGTCTTTAAACCTGAGCGCGTTCCACTCTCTCTGCCCTATTTCATATTAGTTTGCATCATCCGTCAGCAACAGGTTGTGCCCACCGTCTACCCCATCATCATCATGAGTTCAACGCACTGGAGAATGCATCACAACCGGGCCAAGCTCATTATAGCCGCCGTATCCCTGTTCCTTGGCATCCTTGCCCTGATTGGCGCCGCCAATCACAAAGACGGCCGCAACGCTCGCTATTACGCAGTTGAACCCGCAGATCAGCACGTCCAGACGACGGCAACGGCAGCCAAGGCGTCTATTTGCCGCGCCCACCACGCCATCTCGATGCTCCTGCTGGCCACAGCAGTAGGCTGGCCGACGCTGAACGAGTTTGTTGCTGTTGACGTCAGCAGGACCCCCTTCGCCATGGAGGTGCGGGACAGACACGACGAGGACAGGGGTGGTGGTGACGCCGTGCTGCTTGAGCGGCAGAACACGGCCGTGCTCCGCGGATGGACCGAGACATATGAGAACCTGCTGCATGGAAGACGGCGTGCCGCCGCCCCTGGCCAGTCATAGGATACAAACAACATAGACGATGACGAAAATGACAACAAAAACAAGAACAACGGCAACGGTAACGGCAGCAGCAACTATGAGGGCGGTGACGACGAAACAGACCAGGTGATTGAAGTCCTGATGCTTGTTGGCACAACTCTGCGGAACCTAGATGCCAGGGTAGTCTACCTCTACGACCTACTCCTACAGATGGAGGCAGCAGGCGTATTAGCTATGAAGAAGCGGCGCAGCAGTAAGGGCGGCTGCGCCAGGGAAATTGCGCAGGACGCTGTGTCGTGCCCCAGTGGTATAAGGGAGTGTAAATGGATTATGATGGATTGGTTGAAATGGGAGTACGTGCGCTGGGGGGTGTGGCCTAGCGCTGATTCTGGTGTTCATGGATAATCCTGAGGTACTACTCTCTCCGTTTGTATGTGTGGATGTTGTTTCTGTCCTCTTTCTCTCTCTTTCTCTCTCTCTCTCTCTTTAACATTCTCTTACATAGTATAGAGGAATAGGACGGAAGGGCGGCTGAGTTGTGATTGAGAAAACGCTTTGATTGAGAAATAACGAACGAACAAGCTATTTCCAATGCCGACCAGGTTTTGTTCTTCAGCACTTGGTTTAACAACAACCAGATCTAAATAACCAAACTTCCTAGCACTACGTGCGTCACCAAGTCAGCATGGCTAACTTGGCCTTTTCGAGCGATATGGCTCAACAGGACGACAATTCCGGTTCTCGTCCTAGCCCTGCTGTGTCCTTTGAGGGCCAGCAAGTTGTCCAATGCGGAGATAGTATGCAACCCCCTTCCTCCCAAACGCAACACCAATAGCGCCCTCATGTTTGGGACCTGATGCTACGAGAGCAAAAGGCTGACCTGGTGACGCACCGCACTCTCTAGCTTTGCTTGACGAGTTGGCTGCTAAGCATAGGAGCAAAACGGGTAATGGCGGCCGCCTTAAAGTGGACCTATCAGAAAGAGCATAACAGATACTGCGATTTCTTGAGAATGACAATGCCGCATTCCAACAACACTGGAGAAATGGCCGAGAAGAACTTGAGGGCATTGACCCCGGCTTTGCGTGGCTGAAGAAGAAGGCTACTAGTAGTACACCAGGGCTTGATGAGCTGGTGTGGATGCCCAGCTGGGAAACAGGCCCAGGAGTGCTGTGGGGATACGTCAAGGTTTACGTAAGGAAATTCATCGACCTTGATGCAACTAAGGGTGGGATTACAGGAGAAAAAGAAGCACAAGGAGACGATGGTGCTGCCGCAGCCGGGACCGAGCCAGCCATAACTGCTACCGCCTTGCCTGGGGTTGTTGAGAGAGGACCTAACAATGACGCGCCGACCGCTGCAGACGAGAACAAATTGCCAAAGTCTTGCTCTCTAGCTGAGAGCGGCTGTGGAGAGGGCGCATTAGGCATGCCTGGAACGTGGCTGTTAACGGAAACGCTAGCCAGACCCTCGAATCGGCCGATAAGCGGAACAAAGGGGGAGCTGCTGGTGACGACAAGGCGCGGCAAGGCTGAGCAAGCTGGTCCGGTACCATCGCGCAAGGGCAAGGAGATGGCGGGCCCCAGCGGCGCAGATGTCCGGGTGGTGCAGCAGAAACTTGCAAGCATGTTGCTCTTAGAACAGCCCGGACCGTCTTGACAACAGCCTGCAACTGTGTGTGGCAATCGTTATCTAGAAGCGTGGCGGAACCCTCCCTGGATAAATTTGCAAACTACGTCTTGTACGCAACCGCAATGGCTTTGTTGCGGGGTGTTTTGATCCCTGAGCCGCTGCAGCCGCTAGGGGCCATCAACCCCAGATGGTATTAATGGTATAGAGAAGCACATGGCCATCACCGACAAGACTAAGGCAAGCGTTAGTGAGGGGAGGTGAGTATTTAGTAGATGTGACCTGGGTGTGTATTGCCGGGAGGTCCCCAGAAACTGTGCAGTGAAACGGCGGATGCGAGCAGACGAGGTGGCTGGTCATCTGGCGTGGAGGGAAGAATTGGGCCACTGATGGGAATGGAGAGATAATATGGGAGAAGCTAATATGATATGATGAGCAGGTGCCCTGTGAGGAGCCTTCTCCTTTACCACCATCACACACACCACTACAGACCACTAATACTACTACTATCTATGGCGATATTGTTGCTCCTCTACATTGAATAACACCGTTTTGGCAGCCTTAGTGGAGCTTGTTGCATTGTCTTCTTGTGCCTGCAGAGCGCACGCTTGGAGGCAGAATCTGCTTGGGTTAACAGCTATCTAGGTACTTGTAGGTACTGGGACGATAGCTGGTACCAGTTGTACTGATACGAAAGCAGCACATCTTGATGCATCACCGCCCCTCGTCCTTGAACTAACACTAATAGAGGAACCTCCTACTCTAGCACTTAGGCCTCTTAACGCCGCTCTCAACACCCTAAAGGAGGCCGTCATCGCTTAGGAGTTGGCTAAGCGGGGCGCCGCCGTTCTCGCAGCCTGGAATACGGTCTGGAATGTGGATGAATACGTCGTGGCAGCTGAAGCTGACATGTCGAGCGACGGCGACGCCGGCGACAACAACGGCAAATATGTTAATAGTACCCCTCGCCTATCTTACTTTAATGATTAGGCCTACTATAACGTAGTGTCACGATATATGTCACAATAACCCTACGCGTTAAGTTCATGCGTTTATGCATTTCCACATTCTGTAACAGTACTGACTAGTGCTGTATTATGCGGCGTCTCACTCGTTCCTATATAACTAGGTCGCCACTAGCTAGTCACTCGTTTACATCTATTCAAGCCTTTTAGACCTTATTTATCCTATGCCCTGCTGTGTGCTCTAACTCGTGACAGTAGATCCCTTAGTCTTGATCCCCGTCTGCGACATGATCTTTGGTCCATCTCATTCGCCCTTCGCCCAGCGCGTTCGCTATCGACTGCGGTCGCTCGCCAAGGCCCACAAGACAGATGCGCGCGTCCTGTTTTGCTCTGGGCACCTGCGTTGCCATCGACAAGTCTTGTCTCGAGACCCTCCATTCCCTTTTCAAAAGTCGTGCTGACGTACATAAACTAAGAAATGTGATCGTACCAAAGAGTACGCAGGTCATCTGTTTTGTTTACTGCAATTGAATGGTAACATAATACTTATAAGGCCAAATGATATCTAACTCATAAGAGAAAGCTTTTTACCCCGCTTCCGTTCTCAAGCATTTTCCTGGCCTGTTTCCTCCTGATAGAGGAAATGCCAGTTTGTTTGTTTGTTTGAGTATTTAACGCCTGGAAGTCCCTGTCAAGGGCAAAGGGCGCTCAAGCGGACTACGGACTTGACTACTATACAAAGAGTGCCCCGCCTGCTGCCACAGTCGAAGAGTATATAAGCCAGAGCCAGTAGCCTCCACCTGAGAGAGTCTTTCACGTGCTTTTCCGTCCTGTTAGAGGAAATGCCAGGTGTCAGAGGGCTAAGCCGATACCAGGAAAAGTTGGAACCTGGTTCCACGGTAACATTGCTAAGGTACCCTAGGAATGCATGCCAATTCGGATTGGGGCGTTATGCACACAGAGATACGGTTTTAATATGTATAACGGATAAACGTGTTAATTACAACTATTAAAGGATTCTAATTAGGCCCCCCGCATCGTTGACCAGTAACAGGAGGGTTAAGAGTACTTAAGTGATGTAATAAGATAATATCAACGTAGACACCTCTGTCCGTAGTCTAACAGGCTCTAATACTGGCGCTGATGCAATTTGGCGTCCTGTCATTCGGTTTACACTATGTTAGACAATGTGACTAGAAACATTTGGAATAAGCATAACAGAAGGTGAGGCGTTACCGTCGTTCACGCCATTATACCGGGTCGCCTTGGCGTTTCGTCGTCTACCCTTACGTTTTTCGCTTCCGGTTCTACTTACGTTCTTGTCTGCATGGAACAATGAATGCATGTAGTTCTTCGAATATTGCAACATCACCTGCAAGTAGGTTCTCGTTTCCGGCGCACCAGACAATCTATTGGAAGCTAAGATCCTAAGAAAGCAGCATATTTCAGTCTAGGGGATTATGTGGTCGATTCTGCGATAACTGGGCCTTTGCTATTTTGCAACAATCTTTGTGCTGGTGTTCTAATGTATATCCTGTCTTAGGAGCAACAGAAGCGTCGTCGTGTGATAGCCCATGTCCCGGGTATCCGTATGAGAGTTGCGGGGGTAAAGGCCTTTTCAGCTACATATCGCTGCGCAAAATCACCTCGTCTCAGAGCAGCATTGACTCAGCAGCGAAAACTCCGACACAAATCTCAATAGAGACGTAGTATAAGACACAAATTATTAACCACACAATTACCAAGACACTCACACAAATGGTCATTAAAACGAATAACGACTTGGCCCTTCCATCAGATACTTCTAATATCGTCACGACTGCCCTCCCATCAATAACAAAGTCGTCATCACCAGCTTCAGGTAAAAGACTTAACCGGACGCAAATTGCCGGCATTATTGGAGGACCGCTCGCCACGGCCTTGTTAGTATTGGCTATTGGCGTATGGAGCCTCTACAAACGGCGTTTATCTTTAGAGCAGGACGATTCAAAAAAAACAGACTTCCATAGCTCTTCAGCAATCAACTAATGATACATTCTATGAATACCTTTCAGTATCCAATCTTACTGGTTTATTGACAAAAAGCTATACAAGCTACCCCTACACCTATTGATCACCCGACTGATCAGCGTGTGACCAACAGACCAGCAAGCCAATACTACTGTTACCGATTATCGATCTCAGCAATACTATTAGCGGAAAACCCTACTGTCGGATTACTGACCGTAACAATATGCTGTTTGTTACAACAAGGTGCGGACAATTCACCTTTCGATGTCCAGTTATGGGATTTAAAAACTGCAACGCATATGTTTAACGCCAGATGGACATCATTCTTAAAGACACAGTGGCAGACTCATACTGCGACGACATTGTGGTAGCCTTTCAAGGAGGTATTGACAACCACGTCAACGACCTGGAGCAGATGTTTCAAAGGTTGACCGAACGTGGCATTGGGACCTGACAAGTCCAATGTCAGATTTCCGACAGCAATTGTTTTGGACAAGATGGTTGACTGATTTGGACTCACCACGCCAGACGAGAAGCTGCAGGCCATCAGAGGCATCGACGACATTGAAGGCACTTAAGCACTTCCTCGGCCTTGGCAGTTCACTACGTCACTACATTCCACAATACGCCACCATCGCTCAACCACTGGAAGAACATCGCAAGCAAGATCAAGATGGAAAGCGTAACGCTAGGCAACGCCTTCAACCAATTAAAGACAGCAATGACCACGCAACGCCATACAGCCCATCGCATTCCTTTCCCGCACACTCAGCGACGCTGAAAAGCGATACTGGTCGACCGAGCTCGAAGTCACAGGCTGCGTATGGACCATCACCAAATGTTGCTACTGGATACAGAGCACGCAGGTTGAGCCAGTAATCGTCTTCACGGACCACAAAGCCATTGTGGACATTCAGTCACGACAGGTCAACGGCATTACTAACTCTACAGCACGCACTACAGCAAACAAAAAGCTCATTAGAGCTATGGAATACATCAGCCAATTTGACATCAAGATACTCCACAAGCCAGGAAAAGACCACTTGGTTCCGGACGCGCTCAGCCATCCAAGGCGCCGACGCCATTCGACCTCCTCCAACTGGACCCGCGCGTGACGCCCTTCCATCTGCCGAGAGACGCAGCCCACATCGGGTCCAAGAACCACGACGCCGTCCTCAAGGCCTTTGTGAAAGCCGACTAAAAAGGTAGAGAGGTGTAGAAGGAGAGGCGGTGGGAGTTACATGAGGAGTAGATCTTTGTCTCAGTGCCCATTGTCGCCTGCCTACTTAGTGGTCCGTCATTCATCGGCTTGTAGACCAGCACAAATCATTCAGATAACTAAAATCATCGTTGGTTGCCCTTCCATTCCGTGTCCCAGGTCGAGGCAAGCGCCATGGTCCGTCCGCCCAGGTCTCAAAAACCATGTGAGTTTATCATTTTTGTCGTCTCACGGCCTTCCCCACGAACTAATGACAACAGACGGCGAGCGGCGACGAGCATGTTCAGACCCACTACGTAATTTGTCTTCCTTTTGTCACCCGTGGCCTTTCGAATTGAGGAGACATAAGATGACCTCCCCTATCCACCCCCTCACCCCACGGCTGAAAAGTTGTGTGCCTGACGGATGAGCTTTTCTTAGGTGGCATCAATCGGCTGGCCAAATGTCACAAGGCACGGCATCTGGCCATGGAAAAAGTCACGTCGTCCAGGCCGTCGGTTAACCATAAACGGCGTGCCAGGCAGACCTGGCGGTTCACAGAGCGATTCGGAACAAACAGCAATAGTCAGCAAAACCTAGACGATCTCATCAAAAAACACGACCCAGGATACGTCCTCCTGAACCACCTTGTCTGACGCGACAACGCGGAACAGGGTGACGAAGAAGAATAGATTGAGGCATAGCAAAAGAATAAGTGCTCGTTCGTGTCATAGATAAAGATCAACTCAAGGAAGTGGCTGCAGGAACAAAACAAATAGCTCCAAGAGGTGCCGATAAACAACCGTCATGGGGTGTTGGAAGCGCAGCCTGTCGACAAGCTTATCGACCAGCCAGCCAAGCAAAAGACGACAAGAACGGGGACAGAGATAAATTCCTGCTGAGCCGAATGTTAGAAATCATGGGGGCGAGTTCCTCAGCCAGCAGGGGGGAAAAGCGAGGACGCCGCTATTACCTTGTGTAATCATCAAGTGCTGGCGCATGTGTCTCCATGTGTATTGAGCGCCACCTTATTGTTGCCACAGAATCCTTAAGAGACATGGATAGGTAGCGGACGGGAATAGGTTCAAGAAACTGCAGAAATGCCGGCAGCAGGCACTTGCATATGCGGGATGGGCAAACTAGCCGGCAAGCTCAGGCCCGCGCTCGAGACGGAGCAGGAGAGATCGTCCAATATCGGAGGTTTTGAGCTGGTGAAGGGCCAGAGCAATCGCAATGGCGCAGAAGCAACCCAGCTCGTCACGCATCCCAATACGTAAGGGCCCGTAGGTTCTGAACTCAATGAACTCGTCGTCTCCCAGATGCAAAGCAGGAAGTGTCGTCTGTTCCATGTCGGTGATGTATGTAAGATATTTATCAGTAAAAGACGCGTGAATAAGCCAGAACTCGTCCTTGTCGAGGGAGATCATCAGCCGGTGATGCTTGTCCAAGTCAGGCCTTGCCTCATCATGGCCCAACGATGACGACGGCAGGGGATTATCCCCAGCCCGTCTCACCCGCAGCTTGCCCCCGCGTAGGTCGTGCGACAAGATGGCCACAGTCTCGGCCGTTTCCTCCCGCAAGATACGTTGCTGGGCACTAGCCCTTGGGAGCGGCTTAAGCTCAAAGAAAGCAAACGGACTGCCTTTCCTGGAGGGGTTGTTGGTTGAATAGAAGGCACCGTCAGGGCATGCAACGAACAGCCCATTCCGGCGGCCAGACTCTCGGTTCCCCCGGCCCTTGCCAAACGTGTACGGCACCTCCTCCGGTCGGACTTGAATACATGAGCTGGAGATGCGGGAGAGTGTGTATGCGTAGAGGGCGTGGAAGAATGCGGTGAAGAAGGTCGAAGTTTGGGTCTCGTAGGATGTACGGGAGCGGGCAAAGGCAGTCTGCCGGGCGTAGGGGGGATCATCCTGCGACGGTGGTTGGGGAGTAGGCGGTTTCCCGATGGCCGCGTCGTCTTGGAGTGATAGAGCACGTATTGCAGCGAGACAGCCCATCAGAGGATCGTCTTGTCGTGACTTGGATGGAGTCTCGAGTAGGTCAGGAGAGGGCAGGGCAACCAGGTTCGTCTCGTCTTCGCACTCGATTTCGCAGGACCCAACTGCGGGCTTGGCGTAATCCAGCTTGGCGATGTCACGCCCAAACTCATTATGAGATGAGAAGATGACGGCGGGAGTGGCCTGAAGAGCCGGGGAGGCTGGCCCGGGGGACCGCAGAAGCTTCCAAAGGGAGAGTATAGGAAGAAAGGGACCCAGCACATCATCGCTGAAGGCTTCTTCTTCGTCCGGGTCGTTTGCGCCGTCGCCGCCGGGGCGTGGGTTCGGGGTGGAGGGCGAACTGATCTCCTTGATGAAGGCCTCAAGGGCACCCTTGGTACCAGCCTTGTGCTCGATGATGCGCTCGGCGAGATGGAGGTCGTTGCGGTCGAAAAAGCCACCACATTGAAGGTTTTGCATAGCAGCGATCGATGGAAGCCGGTGTGGCCAAATGGCTCGAAGTTGGAGGAAGGCAGCGTGGGGCATCGTAGATCCAGAGAATGCCCGGTGCTCGTCCATGCTGCCAAGGGACGTGTTTTCTAGGTTGGCTTCCCTTGCGGCCGCGTGCCATTGCGTGGGGTTGGCTGGTATAGATGATGGCGCCATGAGGTGCGGCGGGGGGGTGTTGGGGTTTCCCGGCAGGGCTTTCCCTGATACGCGAAAGAGGGGCAGAGGGTCTCAAGGCGTTTTCCGAGAAGCGAGAACCCAATTGGAATCATCGGTAGTGGCGGGGTAGTGGCGGTGGCGGCGCGATCGGTGCATCGCGCAAAGTTATGGAGAGAAAGTCGATGCATTCGGGAGAAGAGAAGAATGGCATCTCTGCCTGCGACTGTTGGTTGGCCTTTGGCGGCGGGCCTGTGTCGTCATCGAATGCCTTAGGTAATCGCAGGGTGGGTACCTGCCAGAATAGCCGCGCTGACTCATCAACAGTTAAGTGGAGGCATACAGCACGGGTTGCCTTCATGGTTGCTAGGTCATTATGCTTACCTAAGTCGGTAAACAAGACTGACGTTCTTTGTGTGTCCGCGCGCGCCGGGCGCGTCCAGCCCGGTGAACATATTCACAATCATCAAAGGATTCCGCACCCAACGCCTAGCGCACCGTCACGCAAGATGCCATCAAATCACTCAAACGTCTCTGCGCAGCAAGGTGTAGCGACACGCTTCTGGAAGGCATTGCAGTATGTCCTCCAGGATGGCTCCCCAAAAACTACCACGGCGGTCGACTTCCTCGCCAACGATTCAAACATCGCGACTTTGAACAGCCCGTCGTCGATTACCGCTGCCGGATTTAATCTCCCCATCCCAATGAACCGTTCAGATCTCAAGTCTTGGATCGCGAACTCCCCGGCCCAAAGCCACTCTTCTACTCTCCTCCGCCCGCCACCATCGGCGTGCCCCCCAAGGCAGTCCTCTCCTCGGACGGCCTACGAATGGGCGGCATACCTAGACAACACCCGTTCCGCCCTGCTCCACGGCAGCAAACTCTGCGAACCAGCGACAACAGACTCTTGGCGTGAGCTTCTATTCAACGGCGGCCAGCCGGTACCCAATGGACCCTGCCGCGCATCCTGGGAGATGGTTTCCTTGGTTGAAAGTGGCAACTTCGTCAACTGCATCCTTTCTGACACAGAGGAGGCCCCGGCGTCATCGCTCCTCCGCACCGAGCTGGTCTCTCTTCTCGCCCTTGTCTGCCGCCAGATTTGTGGCCTTGAGCCGCGACAGAGGACGAGCCCCGCAGACTGGCAGGTTTCTGTTCGGTCCCCCTCGCCCTTATTTCGCCGTGACATCCTTGCTAACTGCAGCCTCTCAGATGACTCTCACGACCTTCACCCCGTCCCGGGTCCGTGTCTGCAATGCTCACCTCGATCCTATACTTCCGAAACTCTACATCGCTATACACCTCGACACTCCTATTAACAATCTGGTCGGGCCCGAGTCTGAGGAGGGATGGCTGGACGTAGTGGGATGGCTTACAGCCGCACCATCAGCTACTAAGCTGCATGTCGGAAAGAGAAGGGAAGAGCAGAACGATAAGGCTGCTTCCGAAAGGCTGTTCTCTGGGTCTAGCAACGGCACAAGCAGCTCCGGTGACTCGTTGGCGTCGTCCAACTAAGTTACCTTCAGCTGCCTTACGCCACCGTTGCTGCCGCCGTTTTACCCTTTCGAAGCTTTGGCGAGGGCTCAACCAGCAACCGTTGATCCCCCGGGGGGGGGGGGGGGGGGGGGGGGGGAGGGGGGTTACGTCAGGGTCTGTGCAATCCATAGAGGCGTTGTGTGGGGGGTTTGTGCATTCACTTGCATTATTATACCATGTCATAATACCACAGAAGCGAGGCGTTTGGTTAGGTATTGTCTTTATTCCTTGTAATACTATACGATTCTTGTGCGAAGAATAATTGCGCAGACTTTTCCCCGTCCGTTCTAATCACGTCGCGGGTAAACTGAAGCGCCACGTCGTCTGCTGCGGCAGGAAATGATCGTAGCATTTAACGTCGGTCCCACTGGCTCTGTCTGCTGCTGTGTCCAGGAAAATTGATGCCTGTTTGACGCCCGACTTTATCCTAAGGCCATGGCGATGGCTAGCCCGTAATCCAATTCCTTCAGTCGGTCGGCGAAAGTAAGGTGATGTCAGGTGAGGGCCCGCAGGCAGACAAGGACTGGAGATGGCGGTGCTCCTATGTTTCATTCCATCGGCCAAGAGCCACGCCAAAGACATACGCCACAAGGCAACAAACGGCCTACAGTCTGTTGCGTTGGCAGCGTCCAAAACCTCCTTTCAGTCCGTGCGCTGAAAACACATAATTGTGAATTTTGGCTTGATGCCAGCCCGGCCGGGCCCATCGTGATAGATAACGGCGATGCCAGCCCGGCCAGGCCTATCGCGCCATCGCGATGGGCTGGCATTGCTGTTGCCTATCGCGGCCGGGCTGGCATTAAGCCAAAATTTACAATTGTGAGTTTTTAGCGCACGGACTGAAAAGTAGGTTTTGGACGCTGCCAACGCAACAGACTGTACCCGCTTATTGGATATCTGCATACACCGTGTACACGAACTATGATGTTGCACAGCGCAACACAAAAATCGTTGTACCCCGTCTTCCATCACATCGAGCCAACGAGACGGGAACAATCAACCAAAAAATCCCCATCACCAATCAGTTCAACCTTGGTCCAGAGGCAAAGTATTGGTAGACAGATTCGGGCCCGGGTCTGTCTCGTATGGTTCAGTGACGTTGTTGTTCATGTCGGTAAGGCCTTGGTCTCCATCAGAACTGGCACACCCGTCTAGCAGAAGACGATGCCGTCCGAACGAGGTCTCTGCGGCAAGAGACGTCATGCCTGTAGACGGGCTATCGTAGGACGTATTGGTAGAGCCAGTATCTTGAGACGAACTATCGCGGCTGAACCGTGTGGCTGTTTGGTCTGACAGTTGTGGCCTGCCAATTGTGGCCTACCAATTGTGGCCTGTCAGCTGTGACCTGCTAGTTGTACTATCTTCAGAGACGAGGAACCAACCACCGCCACTCCAGAATTACAGCATCTCAGCCAGAAGTGCCAGCCCACCCAAATCAACCAAAATAAATCAAAGTCAATTAGTACTCAGTAAAGAGAACAAAGCCTGACTGTAACAGTAACAGCACGTGTGTAGGCGCATGCTTCCTCGAACTTGTCGAATCTTTGCTGCAATGGCCAGGGAGCGTTGTTCTTGAGCGTCTCGACGTCCTCACAGCCGCAGCCACAGCCATGGTGGCGGCAGTCAGTGCACGATTTCCAGTGCTAAAATCGTGCGCTAGCCACCGAGGCGTACGTACCAATGGGTCATAAAATCAGGACCTGTTAGTCAGTACTGAGGGGGGTGTTTTCCCTTCTGCATCATCATTAGCAACCTTCAAATTGACCTTTTGTTTTGGTCCAATTCATTCAGCTCCCATTCACACTGTCTATTCTGCGTGTACAGCCAGCCCGCATTACGTGGAAACAAACCCTCCACAAAGGGTCGGCAACACCCTCATCTGCAACAACTGCCCAGGTTGGAAAGACGCCCAGTTTCTGTCACAATGGTGATGATCATGGCTTGTATCCACGTGCGACACCCGGGGGCATTCAGCCGCCTGCGCCACGTGGGTGGCGGTGCGCAGCGCTCCAAGACGTTCATCCTGACAAGATGACCCCTCCTCCAGCTTGTAGGCTTGGATGCATTCCAGCTGGTCAAGGGTGATTACACAGTTGTTTGTCCGTGTGGAAGAGTGCAGTATTACGACTACAACGTTCCGAATTGTAGGATCCAAGGCCAGCGGATGCTCAGGCCCGAGGCTGGCCGGGCTGGCTGGGCTGGCCGGATCAACCATGTGGCCGGGCCCACCCACTATGGGTTGCGGTATTTGAAGGCTGCCCATCTGGCTGGCCACGATAGTTACTCTTCCCCTCTTTGCGCATGATAGGAATCAACAGTTAACCCCTATTATTCGTCACTTCCACCAATACGTACGGTTAACCGTATCACCACCCTGGTGTAACTAACAGAAGCATTTGGTGTGGGTGGGTTAAAGTGTACACTTTTTTTTGCAAGGCGTGTGCCTGTTTTTTGTCACCCACTCGGAGTGTTAAGGTAACGACCAGTCTGCTGTACGGGCCCGTGCCACTCTGTGGACAAGTAACTCCTTGTTGTCGTCATTTAATGTAAGGGGAAAGAGTTTAGCTAATCAAATACTTACGTCCCGCGTTTAGTTTTTTTGTAGAGCGAGAGCAGGGTGCAGGGTGTCAACTTGTTAATAACGGCCTGTTAATAACTGTCTAGTGTGCTAGTGTCGGTTGCGGTTACCAGGCATAGAGGGGCCATGGGGCGGCATCTGTGCGCATGCGTAGTAGTACGCGCGGGACTTTCGCCCTGGCGGCCACCTATTTCCCCTGAAGTCAGCATTAAACCCAATGGGGCAGTATGAGGGGCAAACCTAGGGGGCTGATGTGGCCACATCCGTGCCCATACATAACCACCTCACCCACCCGTCGCGTCGCCAGTTGATTCAACCCTCCTTCACATCACCATTATTTATCCCTTCATTGACGGCAAGGTTGGCGTTTCTATTTCTTGCTAGGCTGACAACTTTAATATCGAAAAGTATGAATTAACTGCTGTGGCTGACTCATTTGCCCTGCTGCCAGACGTCAACTGTAAGACCACTTAGCCAGGCGACAACTGTCTAATAGTGGGGATTGTAATGGTTGCTTGATTGATTCTGTCAAATGTGGCGGAATTACACGTGAATTAGCCGGCGAATGCACGGTTGCCCTACGGCGAATTGTCGGGGAATGGGCGGTGAATTGGCCCCACTTTTGGGGGTAACTTCACCAATAATATCGCCAGGATTAGCCGGGGACTTCCCAACCAAGAAATAGGGGTTTTTCCCTGTTTCTATAGTAATTTATAATAGTTATAGATATATATAACAGAATTAATTAAGTAACTATTATAATCTCTACTATTTACTAGTTAATAGTCTAATATATACGTCTGTAATAACTAATGTGCCTATCTACTTATTAAATACTATTATAATAATTAACAAGAACTATAATAATAAGGTAACTATCCTGTAATTATATAGTAATTAGTTTATATAGCTTAACGCTATCTAAGTAAAGGCAAAGCGTTATAATCTCTAGGAGTATATTTATTAAATAGTAAGGATTATAATAGTTACTTAATTAATTCTATTATATATATCTATTTCTATTATAAATTACTATAGAAATAGGGAAAACCCCCTATTTCTTAGTTAGGAAGTCTCTAGCTAATCCTAGTGATATTATTAGTAAAGTTACCCCTAAAAGTAAGGCTAATTTACTACCTATTCCCTAATAATTCGCTATAAGGTAACTATATATTTACTAGCTAATTTATATATAATTCTACTATATTTAATACACCCCCTTAGTGCTAGTAGCGTAATTAATTACTATAAAGCCTACACTAAATATTATCTATATATAGCCTATTTATTTATTAATTATCCTTTAATATCTTATATATTATTTTTCTTTATTTAGTAGTAAAGCTTTACTTTATTATTAGCTAATTCCTACTATTAATTTACTTTAAGGCGTATATATTAGTTACTTATATTTAATTAAGCTATAAATATAGTAAATTATAGCGCACTAAGCGTCTTTATTAATCTATTAGCTATTAATTTAGTAGACTTCTTATATTTAATAGTAATTAAATTTACTACTACTTTTTAGTGTAGCTAGGAGTTATAAATATCTATATACTATAGCCTTATCTATAATTAAATAAGCTCTTTAGTAATAAGCCTAATAGTTTAGGTATTATTATAGCTAATATAAATAGTTAGTAGCTATTTAGTAGCTACTTACTTATTAAGTAATAATTTAGTTCTTAGTTATATTAATAGTTAAATACTTAGTATAGTAATTAACTTACTAGTAAAAAGCGCCTCTTTTATAGTAAATAATAAGGCTAGTACTTTAGCCTTAGTAGTTAATATTATTACTATATCTTATTTATTAGCTTACTAGAAGATAAGCTCTCTAAATAGCTTTAGTATATATACTTATAAGCTGTAATAGTCTAGTAAGTTATTAGTAAATAAGACGTCTAAGGTAACCTCTAACGTATTATTTTTACTACTTAGTGTTACTTTATATTTAAAGTAAAAGTACTATATTTAATAAAAATACCTAAGTACTTAATTTACTACCTTTTAGTAATTTAGATTTAGATTATAGTTAAAGTAAGTAAGCTAGCTAGCTATAAAAGTAATATCTAGCTAAGTTATTACTACTATATAAAGAATTATCTTTATCTTTTATTAATATTAGTTAACCTCTTATAATAAGGCTATATATTTAGTAAGTAGTAGCTTAGCCTTTACTATAAGTAATAATTTATTATATTTATATTTATTATTTATTAGCAGTAGTTTTATTATTTTATTATAGTATACTACTTATAAAAGCTAGAGATAGTAGTTACTTTAGTTATAAATTACCTTAAGGCTAAAGAACTATTATAATAGGCCTCTACCTTTAAGGTAGTATTATTACTAAAGGGCTACTATCTTATTACTTACTTATGTTTTATTTATATAG